GCACTTAATTTTCTAAACATTTAGACTCGTGTATTGCATAACTTTGCTCCTTGTTGTATATACATGTAATATGTTTGTTTTTTTTGCCGAACTGAAATATTTCTTTTTTATTTACTGTCACGTCATATCTAAAACAGTTTTATGTATCATAAATTTATTATTATTATTATTATTATTATTATTATTATTATTCATGTTTCTTTGCAGCATTATTGCAGGCAACATAATGGGCATCTTATCCATGTGAATACTGCAGAGGAAAACCTTTTTATCGTTGACATCCTACAGAAAACAAAAGGTAAGGGTCGGTTTAAATTCTCATTTTTGATTACGTTGCAGAAAATCGTAGTAATGAACTTAATGAGAAATTTCTAGAAAACTAATCAAATAGTAACACCGTCTGAACCCTAGGGAACTGATTCTGTTGGCTAACATAATTCGAATTAAGTGAATACGTAACGAGTAAGCATGTTTTACCGGCGATGATTTGTTACTGTAACAACGGCATGTTGGTATAAATAAATTATTGAATTTAATAGATAGATAAATAAACAGACAGATCAATAAATATGTAGATAGGTTGATATCACCGTTCAAAGACATTGAGGGCAAAGAATAAAAGAAGATATGATTGGACACTTTTTAAAACTCCACCTTATTTCTTTTTCTCTATTTCTATAGCTTATCACAGCTGGGTTGGAATATCAGACATGGATGTAGAGGGGATATGGCAGTGGTAATTACTTTGTTTATGTCACACAATCATATGTTTAGAGGATGTTAAATCAGTGTATGAATGAGTTGAATGAACCTGTATAACGCGAGTTTATCAATGAGTTCAATAAATGTTGTAATGAAGCTATGACCATTACATTACAAAACATTAGAAAACATTATCACATACTATAAAAATACATAGGTTCACAATTATGTTTTTTCTTCTTTCATTGACGCTTTTATACTGAAACGTACATGCTTACGCTTTAACGAGTGTTTATAACACAGGTGTGTAATACATTGTAATTGTCAAAACGTTATTGTCTTTTACGTTTCATTTGATTCTAATTGTTTTATTTTCTGTTTTGAATACAAGTATAATATTATTTTCTGTACTCATCAGAAACCTCTTTAAAGGGACGTCAGTTGTTCTACTCGGGTGCGCATTAGTGCTTGATATAATTAATTTGACTATCAGTATGGACAAAATCATTTAGATTGTTCAAAACACATTTCAATGTAAGTACTGACTGAATGTAGAATAGTGCAGACATTGATCAGACGGCAAGTTTGAACCGGCTGATCTTGGTCTGCACTGGTCGCATGGGTATAGTCAATTGTCAACAGCAGTTTTAGAGCTTTTAACAGGTACGACACGTCACAGAAACCAGATTTTACATACTGGTACCCAGGGGAGCCAAATGGAGGTCAACATGAAGACTGTGGGGTTTATGCTGTCCACCATGACTATAAATGGAGTGATTACCCATGTGATAGCAACTTGCATCCAATCTGTGAAACAAGGTAAACTGTTCAAAGCAAATGAAGGTTATGTGACAGTCATTAGAATTGTTTTTACACTTTGTTTTGCGTTTTACCATTTTAAGTTGAATAATATTTGATTACACAAAAACATATCGTTCTTTTTGCCTATATAAAAGCACTAATATCGTGCAAAAAATGTGTAAAATAATGATATCTAAGACAAAAATGCGCTGGTCAACACACTTTCAAGATGTGGACGATATGCGTTGATGCATTTGATTAATAATGAACACGTGTATTGTTATTTTATTAGAATGATATGGAGGCTATTCGTTGCCAAAACTCCAGCCTTTGAAACTTGACAATGCATACTTCGGTTCTACTAAACAGAATAGTAAAAATCTAATTGTCGATCCGAGAGTTACATACTGCACTGGTATTTAGCATTCTGATTATCTCGGTTTGAGAAAATGGAAGCTGTAAACATGCAACTTAGATAAAGTTCAAACTTGCGACATGTAGAAATGAAAACGATAGAACGTACACACTACGTTTTATGCTGTGTATCATGACGTTGAGAATGTAACTGCATCAACTTGACACACTCAGGTTTACAACAACACCCTTTCCTTTTACATTCTAACGCAATTAACATTTGTAAACGATTTCGCAACTTCCATATACAATGCATGGAATTGTCACGATAATATACGAACATTAATAGGCGGAGCCAATTTTCACGAAAGTAGAATATAAAGAGAGGTAACTCTTGCTGGTACAAAAAATATTTCAAATTATATAGAAACTGTTTTAAATTTCACATACTAGTACATCAACTGCATAACAGTTGACTTTGAATATCCTCTGATTTTGTTAAAACGTATTCTAGTTAAGAATTTCCAAGAAATGCAAAATTTGTTTAGATATAATATAACAATGTAACAACATTTATACTGATAATGAGCATAAGAATATTGGTGAATTAACAGAAAGGAATGTTTCCTATATATAATGACACACACCATTGTTCTTTCATATGAACGATATGGTTTGTGTGCCTTCAAACGTTACACGGTATTACTCGTACGCATATTTTTTACATTCAGCAAATAGTATTAGAATGCTATACATGAAAGTCACTTTTGGCAACACGAATAAAGAGAACTGGACAGTAAGCCTGTGACTTCTTTCTTTAAGGGACTATGTTGGGTTGTAGAAAAAAAACATATTTTTACCAAGTGTATAACTACGAAACAATTCAAAGTTTACTATCGATAATTTCGTTGTAAAACCAAAAATTTGTGAATTTCTCCCATTTTAATGTTGAAATAAATATTCAGTGTATCCTAGCATATCTGTTTACCTCCATTGGGAGGTATTGTGAGTCATAGGATGTTTTTTTAGCCCTTTATTATTAAATTTATGCAAGCTGACGTAGGTTAAGGTCTTTTAATGCATTGTACTGAATCAATAGCAATTCTAAAATATGCGTATACATGCTGTCAATAGCGGTTACCTAGACTTGCTGTCTATCTAATCAAAAGCAGAGAACTATTTTTATGTACATAATATTTATTAAGTTTTGTAAGTGATGGCTTTCTAAGAGATAAAATAAACAAAGTATACATAATTTGATAATCGACATACAAGTCATACTTTTGGACTCATTTAAATGTGATTATTGAAAAACAAAATGGTTAAAAATGGGAAAATGTATCTATACAGTATGGTAAAAATAAAAAGTTATGTACGAAAGGGTACATACAACTTTGGTTATAATTTTACTATTGTTAAAAGTTTTTTTCTTGTCAAGTCATACGCTAGAATTGAGGTTACTAATGTCATAGTAAATGCTACTACTGAAAAACAACAGCCAGAATTTGGTCTGTATCAGAAATTAGTCGTATCAAAGCCTTTATCAGATTATCAGATGTTGACTTGAAAATTTGAAAGTGGTAAGGTAACAGCTTAACTGTAAATGATACTCATTCCTATTCAAATTGAAATACCCTCAGTAAAATTTATTTGTCGTTAAATATAGTCTATCAATAGTTTTTTCTTCCTTGAAAAATATTTTAACCTCAGGCAGTAAGTAGCATGATGAGTTTTTTATTATTTTTTTTCAGTTTCTTTTTCTAGGAAATGTTGTATCGACCACGTTTTAAAACTTATATGCCTATAATCCCTTTAAAGTCCGCTAATGCTAAAGGCATAGAATGGCAATCATGCAAGTGAATTATATTTGGTGAATAACTAAACACCTAAAATGTGTGGTAAACGGAAACTACGCCGCTTCTTGTCACCGACGGTAAATACCGAAAATGAGCGGGTAAATACGTTTATTTACGATGATGTAGTGGGCGGGCAAATGTGCGGAGCTTATTTCATTTTATTGAAAAACGTGTAAAGCTGGATTATGCTGATCCGAGTCATGATAGTTCGACAATGTAAAGCTAAGAATGTAACTTCTGTTTTGTCGGCGTATACACGAACAATGAGTATTCGAACACGTGGTATTGCTACTATCAGCAAAACAGTTAATGTTTTGTCGTTTAACAAAATGTATTTTGTTGAAATGCATGTTTACAATGTTCAATCGGCATACTCAATCCAAGAATGCAACATTGGTGTTTACATACAAAGAAATACAATTTTATTTTTCCGTTAACAAACTGTTCAACTCAGATCAACAAGGCTGGATTTTTGGCAACGAATAGCCTCCATAGAATAATACATAACTATTTCGATACGATGAACTTAAATGATTTAATTTGTCCTAAATACATTTCATTTCGATAATGCTGTCATCAAATTGAATTGATTGATTTTTAATAAGTACGAGTATTATGTACGTAAAAGGAAACTCAAAATAATTATTGATGTTCAGATAATGATTTTGATTTAGAATTTTGAACCTTAAAATTAAAATTCTAAAATATTCACATATTCTTGTGTTGCCAATTTTAATATTGATTTGATATTGTCAAGAAAAATTAACAAGCTTTTGTAGGATCATGGTTCAGGGTTATATAAAATTGGTAAAAGGTTCTAAGCTGTTCGTTTTTCGGAGCAAATTTATGCTAAACAATTGAATTAAATAAGAAGTTAAATTTTCGTATAACTGTTAGTAACAAAATAGTGAACTTCTTGTTTTTCTTTCAGCACTGATGTTGTGGATTCAATTATCGGCAAATAAGAAAATGAATGTGAAATATAGCTGTATAACATAACTAATAAATATATGAATAAACAAGTTTTTATTTTCGTTTCGTGGAATCAACAAGAAGCTGCCCAGAGCTAAAAATAACAATGATAACAGCTATGACATCTTTTCCACATTGTGTCTATGTCCTACTGTTTCGTCCAATACGAATACCTGAAACTGTCTATTTTTCAAAAACTGCCCTCAATAGCATTTATGTTAACATTTATCTAAACGTGTCCTGTTCTGTGAGAGTCATTTCAGTTTATTTCAGTTAATATTGCCCTAAATATAACATTTGCACTGAATAACATATTGTTGCGTCATATACATACAAAAGATAGTAGTTTTCTTATCTGAGTGACCCAATTTCAGTCAAATTACTTAATATTCTTGATACACGAGAAGAGAATAATCTTTCATTCAAGCATGTTCTCTTTTACTGTTTTACTCGGGATAGGAACTTTTATAACAGGTAAATTATGGTGTTTAACTTTTTGGTAACAAAACCATTATTGATTCCGATTTAAGATAAATACACAATATATATTATAAAAATTCTAAGTTCATTATACTCCTTAATTAACGAACAGTATCAACACTTTAGTAAGATAACTTTACAACATCGACACTAAAAACTTGCTTGTAGAGATCATTGAATCCAATGATTTATTGGTAAATTTTTCTATCCTTTTCAAACGAATATCGTTAAATACAAATAAATGAACAGCGTCGAAATGAATCCGTTTATGCAATTTCTACAGAACATTGACTTTCAAAACAAAACCGGCAATGTCTGATGCATGCATTTTCTGATAACATTTTAGCATAATACAAAGTTTTTTATCCAGTCAATTTAATTATTAAACTTCTTGTCTCAGTCCATATATTTCTTAAAGAAGTAAACTTGTATCACCTTGTTTCCAGATTTTTATACTTCACAACAGTAGGTGTTGACAGCTGTAAAAAGTACTTAACTTCAGTGTTGTTATATTTTCTGGTCCTTCGGGGTCATTGGTGCAAGCACTATACAGTGTTGAGAATTGAGTACTGCTCAATCCGGTATTAGGGGGCGGCGGGAAGGATGTTGCACTTGTTCATTATCCCTCATGTACAGACTCAATCTGCATTTCTTATCTAATTTTGTTGTGATTAATGGTTCCGAAGGTTCACATTGTTTCCAAGGTTAACTTAATCGCTTGAACCAACTCATTTAAGACATTCTTTTTATAGTGTTCTTCGCGGTATGAGCAGTAATGTGTCAGTAACGCCGGTTAACCCAAGCAAAAAATAACGATTTATTTTTCTTATACATCTACACAGGGGATCGCAACTTTAGTTTAAGTTATATCGATGTTCTGGTAAACTTTTAAATTTTCGATAACTTAAAAGACAAAAATGCGACGAAACAACTACAAAAGAAAACAAAGGTTTCTCGTCTTATATGTTTTTGAGGGATATATCAATTTTATTTTGCATGTATATACAGCCAAATGTATACACTTTTATCAAGATATCTTGCGCAAGTGTGATTATTAGTAATAAATATTAGTATTCTCAGCATATGTTGATATAAATAGTTAAATAATTGAGAATCAAATGTAGTATATATAATAATATTAACTGAGTCTACCTTCGTTGTAAAATAGTTAAAATGGAGTGAAATAAAGAATCCCTAAAGAAAGCCCAACAAGACAAAATTTAAAATGTTGCAGGCTCGGTTTGATTGAGCCTGTTCATGGACGGTAATGGAATGTGCAAGTTACTGTCCATTTCCTCTAGCACCGACTTGAGCTGAATTCAACATTTAACATCAACTGGTACAATTTTGAATTTTGAAACATCCGCAGATGTGTTCATATGGCGGTTATCATGGAAACTTCAATGTGACACGTAAGTGCCATTCCATGAAAAGCGGCATATGGTCCCCAAGTAAATAAAAATGCGTGTGCCTTAAACGAGAAAACAATGTGCGGAACTAAATAAAACGGAATTTTGAAAGGGGATCTGATGTTATGAAGCCTGTATATTACAGATATCACGTCAAAAGACAAAATTTAAAAAGCAGCCCACGTATCAGTTTGGTAGTGATTGTAATCTGAATCAAATAAATCAGTTACTTATCTTACTGATCACATTTTGTCATTTTCAAATGATAACTGTGACGCAATTTTCTGAATCTTAATGTAATGATATTTATGCTAAAATATTTACTGGTAATAACTTCAATGAGTATTTCCGTCACAATTTATTTTTATTATATAACTTTCTTTTTCATAAGTGTGTTCGTGCTTATGCCAGAATGGCTGGACACGTTTCAATGATTCTTGCTACCTAATTGGTTACGGACAGCATTTAACTTTTGTCGAAGCGGAGGTAATCTTAACGATGTTATACTTTACTCTTCAAAAAAATAGCATATAAATGTATGACAATAGTTCAAAATCTAAAAGAATGCAAAAAAAACAAAACAATCGTATTAGCACTTGGAGGTCAGTTATCTTTCAGATCTGAAATCGCGCATAATAATTTTATTTCCTTCAAGTTTTGGACTTCCATGAAGTACTGAGATCGTCATATTTTAATTATTTTGAGCTTGCTTTGAATTTGAAAAGTGAATATTTATTTAGCATCAAAGTCACAATCAACTCTGAAATCTATATTCAAATTCACTTAACTAGTGAAGACCTAGATAAAATTGAACTCTGAGCCATTCCTAAGATCGAAACGAGTATTTTATTTATTTTAAAAAGCATAATATATCGTACGAGCATTGAATGCAGAGCGAACTGTAGGATAGATATGCAAGCAAATTACCTCAGTAGCCAGAACTGAGATTGATATTAAAAATATATTAAAAGAGCGGAAATCGAGCTGGTCTCCTATTTAGAGCCAGTTCAGAGCACAAAAATTTATTCTTAAAAATGGCAAATATCTTGCTTGCAACTAGTTAAAATCGTATGAAATAAGTGTTATTCAGTCGGATATTTCAACTGTATTCCATTTTTCATATAATATGATTTCTTTTGCCGGCTTATGTCTTTTCAATTTACTGCCAAGTTATGTTAAAAACAGTTTTAAGTATCATATATTGATTATTATTATTCAAGTTTCTTTGCAGAATTATTGCACGCAACACAACGGGCATCTTATCCACGTGAACACTGCAGAGGAAAACGTTTTTATCGTTGACATCCTACATAAAACTAAAGGTAATGGTGGGTAAAAATGTTATTTATTATAAATTATATCGCACTGATTGAAACCGCAGATTAGAATTTATTGAGTAATTTCTATTTTTTCATACATTCAAGTAAATATGTATTACCACTGTCGCAACAGACGGGTACTGCTGATTCCACTGGACTACATTAAAATAACGTCCCGATTACCCTTAGGGTACCGAAGATGATTTGTTACCACTGCAGGGCGGTATAAATGAATCAATGAATAAAATAGATAGATAAATAAGCAAATAGACAAATATGTTGATAGATTTATGCGACTGATCATAGACAGTGAGGACGGTGAATAAAGGAACATTTTAGCTGTTCAAAACGCTTTATTGTATGATCTAAAAATAGCTACAACCTTATTGGTACTAACAGTAGCCATAAAATCATATGCACAGGGTTTAGTGTCATATAAATAGATTGATACACATTTTCATTGACCATACATTGTAGACTGTGCGCATTAAACAATAATTGTAAGGTTTTGTTCTTAATGACATATTTCTCGATTAAAAATATAATTTCTTTACTTTAATAGTTTAACCGCGATGAGTATAAGCTTGAATTACTTTTTGTATGGAAACCACCATATCGACTATAACTAAAACTGGTTCCCATATTCACGTTTGGATTTGTCGAAATATTTTGTAAATGGAGTAAAACGGCGAAAGTTTTGATTTCAATTTCGTCTGTTGTGTTGTTTATATGAAACATTAAGTTTTGAACTGACCATGATCGTTGAGAATAATATGCACTGTGCCGATAGACAAAAGAATTATATGAAAATATTGTAAATGGAATAAAATACGAGGTGATTTTGATCGAAGGTGTGCGGATTTTTTTTCGGGACACATTTGTATCCTGTGTATTATTATACAAGTAATGATGAAATATGATTTTTTTTTTCAAAAAAAGCTTAAGTATATGTGCTGGGATAGACAAACATTCTATTTGGATTTTAAGGTGATTGGCGCGGCAGACCCAAAGTGATTGTGAATACTTGTCTCATTTTCTCACGACCTATGTGTTATGCTTGTAGGCCGCTTACACAACACTGCCGAACCTAAATAAGAATATGCAAATTACAAAATCACAGGTTGAAATTTTGTTATACTCTACTGAATAACACATGTTCAAGATGCTAGCTAGCAATGAATGACGTGAAAATGTTTCCAAGGATGTCGCGTGCTCCTTTGAAATCGATAGCAAAAGCATAACAAGTTGATAATGTTGCAATTCTATTCACGCATGCCCAGTGATGGGTGTTCACTTCATTATTAAATTCAACTGCATTTTAATTACTTTTTAGTCTGTTTTGACAGTTAAGAGAAACAATATCCCCTAAGTTGAAGCACATTGATCGTTTGTCAAATAGGTACAATTTAAGATAGAGTACACATATACAAACATATATCAGACATGAATCGTTATTGTGTAATTGCTGTAAAGTAAACCAATGCCCATTGTGCCCCCACAATTTTTAACCGTTAACTTTATAGTTTACCTGTTATCTCAGATAAATTATGGTAGTAGATCTAAATATAGTGGCTGATTTGTGTCATGTCGAATTTAAGCTCTGAGCGATGCATGACGAAAGTACGACAAAGTCACCATTTTATCGTACTTTCTCTTCACGTGACGCAAGACGAATCAAGACTATACCACAAAGTCACCACTTTCGCTTTACATGGCGCCAGACAAAGTCACCATTTTATCGTACTCTTGCTTCGCTGGGCGCCAGGCATAAACACGAAAGTACAACAATGTCACCACTTTGTCGTATTCTCGTGTCTTCCCCTGTCACCCCGTGGATCGTAAGTAGGAAAATCAGCAATCTCTTTCCTCGTAATATCACTTCGAATTCATTACTATGGACAGATTCTGGTATACATCAAAGGTAAACTGTGGGTTAACTTAGGAGAAAGGGACAACGTTGATACTGGATATGATTTTCAGATTTAATGGCAGTATATTATGAACATATGTGAGTGTCTGAATACAACAAAAATAACAAACGCATATATAATAAATGAGTGTTGTCTGAAACAAAATTTCAGGAACATAATACTAAAACTGAGAACTCTTCTTAATAAAAATGAATTGATGTACATGGCTAACCTATTCAAAAATCAATCTAAGTTCGTTAATTTTATTTCTATAGCTTCTTCCAGCTGGGTTGGAATATCTGACATGGATGCAGAGGGACTATGGCAATGGTAATTAATTTCTTAATGTATCACATGTATTTAGAAAAAATCGAATGAGTGTATGCATGAATTAAATGAACTTGTATAATTCGAGTTACTCAAGGAAGTCAATAATTTCTGTTTCACAATAAATTATATTTATCACAAACCATAAAAATGACCTGTTTGCAGTTCTGTTGAAAACATATTTTCTTTCATTAACACCCTTACACTGTAACGTACATGCTTACACTTCATATGTCATTTTGAATAGCTGCACAGGTGTGCCATAATTGTCAAGACATTAATTCTTTAAGCAATTTAAGCTTTATTACCTCTTTTCATTTGGTTGTGCATGTAATATTTTTAAACGGTATTTATTCTGAAATCACTAAAAATATTTTAAAATATATATATCTAATTATTGTATGTTACAGCCTTAAAACATAAATATGTTTATACATTTTTGTGTGTACCTTATTTTATGAATAATATATTCCTTACAAAGAGCCGGAATAGTTACATCAATTTACCTTGATAATGTTTTTATTTTACTCACATAGTGTTCAAATATCCGACAATTCTATGTATGTGTATTGTTGTTGTTTGTTTGTTTGTTTGTTTTTGTTTTCTGTTCATGCCATATTTCCTTTTACAGAGATATTAGAAAGTCAATTAAAAATAATTTACAAAAATCTTCATTAAGTGCATAAAGTTGACTATGTATTCATATTATCTATATTCTGATGTTAAAATGAAATAATACAAAACTGCTTTCACTAAAGATAAAGTCATTAACTTTTAAGACAGAGCGTCACTGATCAATGGTGATACGTTTAAATGATTTCATTTCTGTCTAAACATTGACATACCTTATCACCGATGTGGGATTTTACTTTGGAATTCTTTCATGTCAGAAAGCTAGACAGCTAGATAACAAAATGTCGGTGATTCTACTCAGATGCAAACTCCTCGCAGCGGTTACTTCCCCTGATCTGTACAGTAACCACTGCCACCACAAGTAAATTCGGTCGAATATAGCCGGATATATTTTTTTCACTTTTAATTTTAAAATAGAATATGTCATTTTAGTTTTCTTTCGTTAAATAGTTATGCTTAATGTACAAGAAAGTAAAAAAAATATTCGTATAAAAATTATTTTGTAAACATAACGTAAGATATTTTCACTGTGACACCGTTTGCATAGTAAACAATGGCAGAATATAAACAGTTATTGAACGATTGCACAAAAAGATTTGATCCGGCACTTGTTTTAAAGCGATAACAAATTGTGTGTCTTGAACTTATTTTGTCTGGTAAGGATGTAATTATAAATCTGCCAGTTTGATATGGGGTTGATATGGGATCCCTGGCGTTCTGAAACTGGCCGCCATGTTTTTGTCACATGATACAACTATCATCACGTGATTTCAGTGGTGGCAGTGGTTAAAGTAGCAAAGCGTCACGTAACCGCTGTGAGGAGTTTGACTCAGATGCCGTTAGTGCCTGAAAAAAAATGCACGGAAGGACACCTGATGTCATCCTCTAGCAACGGCAAAGTTTGCTGGAAAGTCGTCAAATGACCTGTCAGTAACCACCCTCCCACCACCTTAAAAATAATTATCCAATTAAACCCCTACCTAGCCAAATATCTTCAATGGATTTGACCATCTGTCTGGAAAAAACATTGATCTTGTTTGAAAGAAAAGTTATTACGACAGAATGGCCAATAAAGCAGACCATGGTATTTACTAGTCGCATTAGTTTATATTCAGCTTTGATTTATTGACAGGTACGGCACGTCACAGAAACCAGAGTTCACCTACTGGTACCCAGGGCAACCAGGGGGAGGTCAGCCTGAAGACTGTGGGGTTTATACTGCCCATCATCCGGACTATAAATGGGATGATTACTCATGTGACCATCACTTTCAACCAATCTGTGAATCAAGGTAACTTTTCGAAGCAAATGAAGGTTATTTGACAATCATTGCAACTATTCCACACTTTGTTTAGCGCTTTACCTTTTTATAAATATGTGAATTTTAAACATAAAGTTCCTTTTTAAATACAGCAACATCGTGCAAAACTGAGTGAAATAATGATAAATTAGACATTACTGTGCTGGTCCACAAGCTCTTAAAATGTTGACGATATTTGTGGAAGCCGTTGATAAGTAATTACAGCATATTGGTGTGTTATTAAAGGAATATGTAATTACTTTCACACGATGAACTTATTGACAAATGATTTAATTTATCCTCAAGACATTTACAATCGACAAATTTGATTGATTGAATTTGAATTAGTACTGGGTATGTAAAAAGAAACTCGAAAAAACAACAACATTGTCTTGTTCAGACTTAAACATTCATTTGAACATTTAAATATCAAAATATTCAAGACAAATTATGCTCCTTTTTCTGATATATTTCGGAAAGTTTCCAGGCGTCTGAAAAACCTTGATTATGGGTTATAAATGTACAATTGGTAAAAGGTACTGAGTGGTTCTGTTTTTTTAAGGAAATTGTCGTCAGACGTTCAAATTGCAGTTTATTAGTAAAACTTGAAGAAACCAAATAGAATTTCTTTTTGTTTTTCAGTACCAATGTCGTAGATTCAATTATTGGCAAATAAGTAAATGTATGTGAAATATAGCTGTAAAGCAACTAATAAATTATTGAAAAAGCAGAGCATTTTTTTGCTGAATGGAATCAACAAGGAACCGCCCACAAATAAAGAAATGCAATAAACCCCTTGACTTTTCCACCCCTTTTTATGACTTTTCGACCCCTAGTGGATTAGGCATTTCGATCATTTTATCATTTTTCTTTACTTAAGGCGACCATAAAGATACTAAATATAGAGAAATATTTTCACTTTATCTAATTGTGTGAAAACGCATATCAAATAAACACCAGTCGTATGTCATTATAATTAATCAATTATAGGTAATTAACAGCCGAGTGTGTAAAACATATCATCCTGCCAATCATTATATTGTTGCTGTGCTTAATAAACACAGTAGCTGCATTTCATAATTTACGGGGTCGGCGATGTTGTCGTTTGCCATTTTATTACCATTTCTTAATTTCACATAACAAAAACATATATATCTGACTCATGAAATACTTTTTTGTACTTATTATAATTATAACGCAATTTAGACATTCTACGCGTTAATATTAAAAGATGACTTCTAGACCCCTTTATTCTTGAACCCTTTTTACATGAATTTGTTACATTTAGGGGGTAAGAAATTTCGATCCATGTATCATCTTTTTGTATTTTAGAAGGTCAGAAAGATACTTCGAGAAATAACTTTAAGCAAATGGTTAATAATTTTATACATATGTATAATTATATTTTCATTACAAGATCCAACAAAATACTGAAAAGGTAGTAAAAAAATAATATTGTTTCAATATAATTTATGTTTTGTTACATACCAGTAATGATATATATCGATGTTGTTTTTAAGCTGGGACATAATAAATTCCAAATGAAGTCCCAGACAAAAATTAAAAAAAAAATGTGCATTGAGTGTTTATTCATATTTACAATATTTATAAATTAGTAAAGATTTAGTTTATGTTTTCGTGTGAAACATGTGTATTGGCGATGAATTTTTACACATTTCTACCTAATAAATATAAATTCTAAATAATAGATATTGTTCATCCTCCCTTTTGCTAATGTTTCATTTTTATTCATTGTTAGTATAAAAAATCGATTCTTAAAAAGTACACGAACCTTCCGTTCTACCTTTAATTACTTCAATTTATCGTTAGTTCTGTGTATTTATGAAAACTTATACTCCTATAAAGAGAAAAGTTTACCTCTACATGAACTTTATCACCGGTCAGTAACTATGAGAATCTCTTAAATATATCCTTTTTTTGCACAGCAAAAGCAAATTTTTCTTGAATAATGGAATGAGCGAATGTTCTGAAATTTTGCACGCTAGCTTTTCGGTTAGACCTTCATCAAATGATACATGAAACTTGAAAAAAATCCATTGTCGTCATGAAAAAAGTACAAACTCTTGGATTCCTTTTTAACAAATAAACGCCAACATTCATATGTATATAATAAATGACGTTTAGTAATACCAAATATATTTTCGATGCATTAAAATGTTATATAATACAAACAAGGGCACCATTGTTGCAAAATATGCCCGTCACAAAAGCTTTTGACAGAGATGTGGCCATAGATCTGCATAATTTGGAGATATGCACTGGGCAATTTCCGGACAATATCTGGATATCTTATTATCTTTAGTGACCTTAGACCTTGCAAATGTTAACCTTAATTACATCTGTCACACTTGTAGTCATAATATTAGTCATTTGCGTTACAATCAATATATGAAGACTATAAAATGGTCCCTGTACACATCTTCCTAATTTGACCTCTTTATGTGACCTTGACTTTGGTAGCAGGGACCTGGATTATACACTCAAATTGGTGAGCATTTGTGCCACGTTACATTATAATACCCCTGTGAATTAAGAAGTTTTGCTCTGAACATATATTTTTAATAAAATGTAAGTATGACCTTAACCTTAGGCCTAGTGATCTGGTTCATGCACGTGAAACTGCTTCTCATGGTGGTGAACATTTTTATGAAGTTTTATTAGAATTCTACCATACATGTAGGAGTTATGCTCTGGACAATATCTCTATATTTCATAACTTTTAGTGACATTGAACTTGCATATATTTAGTTACACGTTTCACACCTGCATTCATAATAATGACCATTTGTGTTGCAGTCCCTCAACAACACGCGGGATGAACTGTTACAGGAAGAATGGAGTTCTTGTGATAAGTGTCACGTAGTTTATCAGAAAACTTATGTATATATATATCAAAAACACTCGTCAAAATGGTATCTTTCATATTAAAAAGGTGAGTTTTAGGTGCTAAATAAAACGTTAATGATTACACAGCTTGCCTTACGTGTATTATTTGACAAAAACTTATTATCATGTCACTTTTATTGCTTCTTGTTTAACATCCCGTAGTTTTGAGTAAAATTTCCAAATTATTTGCCTATTCGAACGTATTGGTCTGTTTATTTCTAGTCTTCACCATGCATTATTACCCAATAATAATGCAAAATTACAAACATAAAGCCCCGGCTAACAAATTTATACACAATTTTTTTAATGTCACGGAGTGATAACTAAAAACGTCCTAGAGTTCTTGTAATGAGATAACTTTTGTAACTGCCAGTCTGTTTCTTGCACAAAATCTCGGCACGTTTAAGCGTTTTTAATTATTAAATAAGATTATAAATCATTATGAAATGAGTACGCTCATCCTTATGATGATAATAATTTTGTATTTGGGTGTATTTTAGTTCAAGAGATATTATTTTTAGCCAGGGTTCGTGTGCAATGTTTAGTTTTAATAAAAGTATTTTTGCTGACGCAGTTTTCGTAGACTGGAAAAAGGATTGATGTATAGCATTGGTTTTCGTGGTAAAATGTGCTTTAAAAGCGATACTCAAGCAAAGTGTATTCATGTATACATTATAATGGACCTTTTGTTGGTGCAAAGATTTGGAATAGAATACTTTCAAATATATTCTAATTCTCTGACATCTTTTAAAAATTAGTATAAAGAACATATCTTGCATATCAAATAAATATCTATATAACTCTGTCTTAATGTTGCAATATTTAAAATGCATGTATATTGTTGAAATAATTGTAAATAAAAATTGTATAAATTATATTTTATACCTTAAAGGAGCGTTTGTCAAAAAAGTGATAGGGCAAAATCTAAATTGAATAGTTGTTTTATGATGTTTTGTGTCTATGCTTCTATATATATTGTTAAGAAGGCCATATTTAAAATTAAGATATGTTATTGGTTTTCTATGATGGTATATTTTCTTGTGTTACCTTCTACAACGAAAGATATAATAACTACTCATTGGTTTGCAGAAGCAAAACAAATTATATATTAATAGTTTGCAGCAAAAAAGAAGTAGTATGCACTTCTTATATCTAAATTTATTGAGGTAGATCATCTTAAGGTATTCTACATGTACAAACTTTCTAAAAGGTTTTGCCATAGAGACGTAGAAAGTTATATAACAATGACATGACAATACAAAGTAAGTATCTATACTGATAGTCACCTTAGGTTTCATGCCGGTGATCGACCTTTTTTTCTTTCTTATATCCACTCTAGCATCACGTGACTAATAGGACTCTCCAAAGTGCGGATGAATTTTGCTCATCAAAGTAGTCAAGTTAAACTAAATTTTCGATGTCATATCTTAAGAGTCACCTACTTGAAACTTAGGTGACATTATTACTGTATATTCTTTATCCAGTGTACGAAAGTAATACCATGTTGTTGTCATTTAACATAATAAAACGTATTTTTTGCTGACGATTTTTTCATGGGTATTTTTTCTTATTTAAACTAGTGGAACCAAGACAACAGGTCTATACTTTTGTTGTAATTGATAAAAAAATTTATAGTCAAACTTAGTTTGCTCGAACTCGGAGGGCGTGCAAAATATTTGTTCGGAGAGATCGGTAGTTAAAGCCAACAGCAGTTAGTTTTATAGATATATCGTTCATTTTAGAGACATAGAAAGTGAAATTAACCTTGTTGTGTACTTCTTTTTATGGTATAAAATATACAAATTACTTAGTTCATAGATAAGGAAAGAACAATACATGTTATATTGTTGATTAAAGAAGGTGTTTGCAAAAAAATGGAAACCGAACCACTTTTCCTTTTTTTAAATTTTTTTGGGGTTTGCGACTTAGGCCATGATATGCTGAATGTAGTGCCCGCTGATTAATTTAACTGTAGATTTTATCTTTCAAAATTTGTGAATTTAAAAAATAATTGATTTTTATATGTATCATACTTTTGGAGCAAGTGTAAAGATTGAATTTGTAAAATTTCTTTTGTGGTATAAAATGAAAAATTATTTACTTAGATAGGAAAAGACAATATACTGTTTTGACTTATTCTTTTTTTTGCCAAAGGGATAGAGTTTCTTTTCATTTGATTTAAATTTATTAAAATAATAAAAAAGCCTAAACGTGCCGTGATTTAGCGCAAAAAACACCTGGCGTCCCAGAAAATTTTTGACTTGGGTTGAACTTGTTAACCCGGGGCTTTATTTTAAAAATTTTGCATTACAATTAGGAAATCATAATATTTGGCAAGGTGAGACAAAATAAACAAGTCAATAGTGGCAATTGGCAACATATTGGAATTATACTTCAAAACTACTAGATTTAAAAAATAGGTCAATGAAACGGTCTATGTATTTTTTTTATACATAGTTTAAGTACACATGTGGAGCAAGCTTAATCATTTAAAATTTTTATTAAGCACATAAAAAATTTTCTTAAAAGATGGAAATTTACCATTTTTGACATGTTTTTGTAGTATATACAAAAATTTCCGACGACTCTCGGGGACAGTTATCACAAAAACCCTGACAAAGTTTATGTAAGAACTTTCTCCCTCGTGTTCAGTTTTCCTTGACCTTTGGTCGTATGGCTTGACTTTTTGTTACCCGACACTCCGTATCTCTATGCGATAAGATAACCATTTTTCCCCCGGGTTATTATTGAAATCCCTTTTTGTTAGTAGAAGTTAGTCCGGACAGCGGTGTTTCAATGACTTAACCATTTGGCTAGTTACTG